TAAATATACTCTGATAATGAGTTTTCACACAAAATAGCAAATTAAAAGAAGAAGTACTTGATCTATCGAAATGTTTTTCATTATATTACTACTGTTTCACATCATCGGAAAAGATATAATTATGATCAGACATACAATGAAGAGGTAAAAGAAAATGTACAAATAAAATGTGGGGAATAAGAAGTATTAGTAACAACAAGCAAGGACATATACATTTGATTACCCATTTTTTCAACAGTACGAATGTAAAGTATACTATCCAATTGCTCTGGATCTAAAGAAGTTGTTCCGTCAGTCAATGTCAGTCTCGCAATACTAAAATTATCTTGAGATATCAAGTATCATAAGATGAGAAAACTCAATAATCGAATATATTTGTTGGTGTATTAACTTCTTCTCTTGTTCATTGTCATTATCTATTACCAATTTATTTAGTAATGGAAAAGTTTGAGAGATTCGAACAAAGAAATCATATTCAAATGGACAATATAAATCATGTGCCACTAACTGACGAACAGTCATGAATAAACCACCAGGAAATTTTCTACTATGTATATCAATACATTCCATAGTGAACGGAAGTGAGTAAATATGACATTGACCTATGTCATATTTAGTATAGTCAGTATAACAGGTCCCATTATATCCTCATTGGATGAGTGCACTTACAACATCATCAGATGTTGGTAAAAGTTCTTCGTCTGGTGTGAAAATTTCACTGATGATGTTGAAAATAAAGGTATGTAGATATGACATTTTACTAAGGATATCATTAATCAAATGATTTCCATCAATGAATGAAGTTCGACCATGAACAATAAGAGATAAAGTAAGTTTTTTCTAATAGTGACATTTGATGAAGCAATGGTACTATTTTATTATCATATTCTTCTGTTCGATGAAATGAAGTCAACGAGAAAAATATTTTAGATTAGATAGTATTCTCGAAAAAAAAAATTAAAATAAATATTAACTAATGTCAATTTGATCATTGAAACAAGTCTAGATCTAACCATAAGATAATTAAAGACTTCAGATCTTAATCATATGAGTGAATCCGTAGGATTTCTATCACTTTCAGGGAAAATGTTTTTTTTTCTTCTAATTTTAATAGGCTAGTTAAACATAACGTCGTCGAAAACGGTCTCAGGTAACAATTAAAATCTTTTTACTCATGAAAAGTATGGAGATCGAAGTCATTTTTAGAAACATTCCGCACACATAAAGAGTATCCTATTGTAAATTGTTAATCATATCTTTCATACTTTGTATTGAGATAGAGAGCTGAAATTTTCACCTCTCTAGTCAAAACTAATGGTGAAAATACATCAACAAGACTCAAGTGCATCACTTTTCCTTTCCGATTTTTATATATTTTTACTATGAAACTATTACAAAAATCACAACAAAAATTGATGTATTTCATCACTAGCTTTCGCTAGAGAGGTGAAACTTTCAGAAAAGATCTTGATTAGATATATGTGTGATAAAAATTTCAACTCTCTATCTCAATAAACAGTATGAAAAATATGATTAATAATTTATCATCAGTTATCATCTTGTTATCTGAGACCGTTTTCGACGACGTTACGTCTAACTAGACTATTAAAATCGAAAAACTTTCTTTGAGAACATTGTCGCAGAATAGCCTTATTCCCGAACAGTGGTAGAAAGTCCATGAATTCAGCCATATTCACTTTTATCTATCAATTATTAAATTAATATTTGATCAAATATATTGATAGATAACTATACATAGCAAGATCTACTCATTTAATAAATGTTATTCTTTATGGTTTCATAGAAAACTGGTGAAACTAGAAATAGATTCTCATGTCCAAAAATGATTTATCAATATATATTAAACTTTTAGTATGAATTATTAAAGAAATATTTTCCTGTTATTCAATGATTGACTTGTTGATTTGATAAATTTTTGCAATATCTCTATAAGTGTGATAGACGGTCAAGTCTTTAATACCATTGACAGTGACATAGCGATTTTTTTCATCGAAAATAATTTTAAAACTAGAGAAAATGAAAATAATATTCTCTCATATAAACATCAATCAAATAATTATTCTTGAGAAAACTATTTAATTCATATGTGAACAAATTCTTTGAAATTAATTCTAGACTTAGATACTTTACAAAAACATTTCATCTAAAAAATATATCTGTTCGTATAATGTCTTCTTCTAATATATTTATTTTATCTTTAATGATATTTGTTCTAAAATAATATTAATAAATAAACATTATGTTTTTAAATTTATTCATATCTATTTATCGTTATACCAGTGCTTTATCGCTCTATGAAAAATCGATAGAAAAGAATTATTTCACTGTATTTTAAAATATTTTACCGTATTATTGATAATCATTGATGTTGTGTAAATATCATCAACTTCGACAATAAATCTCTGTAATTGATAAAGACGTCCATCAAGTAACCAAAGGCAATCGTTAAAATTGTAGACTCTAACATTCAAATGAATAATCATTTGATGGATAACATGTTACAGACACGAAATCAATAAATGAACTTGGTGTGGATATCTACAAATATCTTTTAAATAAATATGAAGATAAGTTAAATTTATAAAATAGTAAGATTTGAAATCTGTTGTTTGAAAATATGAACAAATGATGATCCGTCTAAACATATACAATAAAATTTATTAATCGATGTAATTTATTTTATCTTGAAGAATAAGTAAAAATATGACATACCATTGAAAATATGGGATGCCGCTTCCAGTTGAAAATTAACAAGAGTTAGTTTATGAAGTTTAGAATAATTTACAATAGAAAGAACACGATCAATTGACAATGGATTAAGAGTAAAAGATTCAATATTGTGTTGAATTCGAAGTACGATATCAACACAAAATCGATCGAGTATTGACTTGTTTTTTGAATCATTGTGTTCATTTGATGATATTGCTATTAAATCAATAGATTGTGTAAAAGTAATGTCCTGTGTCAATCTATCGAGTTTTCGATTGACTTCTACCAATGAATATAATACAGCAATATTATTGAGTTTATTCAAAATAGTCAGCACCATATCGTCAGATAGATCAAGAATATTAACTGTTGAATAATTCATGTGTTGATTCTATGTAATAATACACTGTAATGATATCTGTGTATCTATATATATTTATTTATTTTCTATCATGTCCGGCAATGGCAATATTAAATGGTCAATGGTAAATATGGTGACCTGTAACGACAGTCAAATTTGCTCATAGATAAATCATGATATTTTGTCAATTATTAAACTGTCAATAAGAATTAAGTCAGTTCATCATACGGCACTATTTTGACGTATATTGCTATTTTTGGCGTTACGAAATCCCTGTTTTTTCTGAAAAGAAAAAACTCGTCACGTGACGCATTGCAACGTTCTCGAATCAGTCAGCTATACATCGAGAATTGTGAATGAAATGGGAAGTGCAGCATAAAATAAAGTGATGTGTACTTATGAGGATTCAAATATTTCACATGTTCTTATAGAGATTTCAATGAGGCAAATATTAATCAAATCGTATGAAATGATGAATTTTTCAATTTATTTTCATCTAATGTTCTACGAAATGAATTCTTTAACGGATCTGCGTATTTTCAAGAACATCAAATCATAGTCACTGATGTGATTTATTTTTGAAGAATTGATTCATCTCTGTAAACCTTCTATGTGTAAGGATGAGTCATTCATTACTAGAATAAGAATTTATAAACAATTAAACATCGTCGAAACTTTATTAAAAAAGATTCTAAAAATATTTTTCCGAGAATGAAATTACAGTTATTCGAAATAACGAACTCCAAAATCCTATGTAAAGAGTGAATGAAGATTTGCGGAATATGTTTGAAGTATGACGATTCCCAGTTAAAAATTAGACCGAAAAATCTCAAAATCAATGTATATTGTCGATACAATCAAATCAAAATCACAAAACGATAAAAGATTATATTTCATTTTCTCCCCATTTGATTCATCGTATTTGGTTGATCTTTTGATGTAGCAGTTAATTCTTTATCGAAATTTGATTGATACTTATATGATCTTGTTTTTAATGAAATGTTCAGGAAAATAGAAAACAATATGTGAAAACGATGATGAAAGAGATCTGAGAATAGTTTTCGCTATTCGAATGACAAAATTTCGAATAAAAATCAATTAAAATAACGATACGCAGTGCTGTCGCGAGTGGAGGGGCAGGGGGTCTTCTCCCCCCAATCTTGAGAAATTAATTTTAGCAAAAATTTTTCGGTCGACCTTCCGAGTCATCGACCACCCCTCCTGCCAATCTTGAAGACTTTGCGACACTCCTAACGATTCGAAATATTTACTAACGAAATGTGTTTAAAATAATTCTCAGAAATGATAAAAAATTTCAATATCGAATAACATAAAATGAACATTAGTCTGAAAAAGACAAGAACTCGACACTAAATTATTTTCAATATTATTTCAAGGAAAGGTGTGGGTATAGAAGTGTGCTATACATCTATTATTACATCTACCCCCACACCCAATGCAGATTTTTGGTGATATTCTAAGTTGAAAAAACGCGTTATAAATTAAAAAGATGCATTTAAACACGTTGAAAACGAAAACCGATGCGTTTAGATGCACCTTCGACAAAAGAAAATGCGTTTAAACGCAAAAATAGCGTTTTTATCTAAAAGATTACGCTGGAATGTGTTTTTTTACGAATATTTTTTCATGAGTAATCACACCTATGCAAGTCGAAGTTGTAAATAGAAAACAAACTCCCCTCTTTTATCACACTCACTTTCT